AATGCATGGCTTCCTAGAGAGGGTTTTCTCCTACTCTCAGATTACTTAGCTCTGTGATGCATGGTGGCACCTCTTCTCAGGGTTCCTTTATTTTCTTTCTTAAACATTTTTAAAATTAGGAGATGACAGAGTTTGCCAAAGTAAGCTTCCAGAGGAAATATATCCAAAAGCGCAACAGAAATCCATGTTCAAACATTGGCAAGTTTCACAACATTCTTTATAGGAACAGTTGACTTTTATAGTTTTTATTGGCAACAAATAGTTTCAGTATACCCATGCTCCATCCTCCTGGATTTTGCTTTTCAAGGCCCTGCAGACTTTCCCTTTTGTAACGACGTGGTGGTGTCAAACGCAACCATGCTGCTCGAAGATCCCTCTGCCTTACATCTGCATTGTGAGATACCTGCACCCACGTCTTTGGGAAAGATTTGAATTCTTTCCTAAGTCATGTCTCACTAACAAGCAACAAAGCCATGCATTCACCACACCTAGATTTATACAGAAAATCTATATGCGCATAAATACATTTTCTCTTTCTGCTTCATTTCTCAAAGATTCTGAGACCGATCCCACAACACACAAATGTACAAAATGACAAAATAAGATGCTCAGAATAACAGACTGGCTTCTGCGGAGTTAGTTGTGTATTGTGAGGTCTATAGGTTTGGAACTGTCATCCTGGCCAGGGCAAAGACAGAAACATAATATGGAGAGTCACAAGGCTAGAAGGCCCAGGACGGGCTGGAACCCTGAGGAAGCACAGTTTTTTCTGGCTACTAGGCTGACAGAGAAATTCCTCCAATGAGAAGCACAGTAGATGATTTAGTAAATCTCAGGGCCACATGATACTTCATTATAACAGACTTCAGTGTGGGCTGACATCTTGACACCAAGAGTAATTCAGTTTATGACAAGCGGGAGGGACTGGATCCCTTATTCTCAAACTTGTGATCCTCCTGCCTCCACCTCCTTCCAAAAATCCAATTGGCATGCATCATTACAACAGACAAAGACCCACTATTCTCAGCTGCCATGAGCTGCCTCTGTTGTGTAGCAACATTAAAGTCATTTCTACTAGAAACACCTACATCTCAAGGAGAAGTTCCTTTGGATTTGTTTGTTCATTTAGAAACAGAATCTCAGGTAGCCCAGGCTGGATTGACTTGCTATGTATCTGAGGAGGACCCTGAGTCCTGTTACCGCCACACCAAGTGCTGTGTGATGTGTACCGTCACCGACACGCATGCCTGCATTATGAGGTGTTGGGATTGAACCCAAGGCTGCACGCATGCCAGGCAAGAGCGCTACTTACTGAACTACATCCCCAGCCCCTCTTCATGGTTTAAATGAGATGACAACAGGTAAAAAAGTAAGCTTAGTTCAGTACCTGACATAGAGTAGGAGATTAAGAAATCTAAATTTCCACGGGGCTGAGGAGATGGTCTCGTGGTTAAGACCATGTGCTACCTCCAGAGAGGACCTGGGTTGAGTTCCCAATATCAACATGGTGGCTCACATTGCCTTGTAACTCCTGACTCAGGGGACTGGATGCTCTTTTCTGGCCTTCTCAGTCTCCTGCACGGAACCAGTGCATATATATTCACATAGACTCACACACATATACATTAAAAGAAATCATAAAAGAAATGTTTTTCTTCTTTTCCTTATTTTGAAGCATTGCAACGAATTCCTGAGAGAAGATAAATGCATTAACACAGCTTATTGCGAAGATTGGAACCTTGGGGTCAGGGAGACACAGTTCTTCCGATGCTCTGTTATCTGAGGTCCCAGCCTCCTCTTCCTCTCCTGTAACCTTGGGGTAATACCAGTGACTAGAAGGACAATGAAGAAAATGAGCCTCGCACTGTGATAGGAAGGCGTCCTGGTTGAGGAGTGCCAAAGTGAATGGCAAAGGATGGGTTCTCTCAGCAGGTGACACTCCAGTGACAAGACGCCAGGAGAGGATATTTCAGGCAGAAGAAACAGCAGTACAATGGCTTAGAGTTTCCATGACTAGGTCTGTCTGGGGAGCAGTGACCTCAGCACTCTGTCCAGCAACGGAAGACAGAGAAAGGCAGGCAGTGGAAGATCCAGCAGGACCTTCTAGTCCAGCTCTTCCAAACTATATGGTACAGAAGTTTTGAAATACAGTTTTAAGGCCAATGTGGTGTCAATGCAAATGAGCCTCCAGGCTTGCATCTGACCGATCACGGGAGTGAGCGTATGACGATGCCACGCTTCTAAATGCTGGATTCCACTTTCTGTCCTTACCGTGTCCGTCCTAATGTACGTCAGAAGCACACAGACTGGGATCTGCTGACCACAGTGGGGAGCACATGGAGCGATGCTTGATTTCACTCTATGTGCTTCAGAAAGCATTGGTGGGGAAGGAAGAAAGAGAAACCAAAGATCCAATGACTACGGTTGTGTTCAGTCCTTGGAGTAGAGGACAATTGTGATGAGATAGCAAAATTCTGCTCTGAAAGATCTAGACCCTTCTGGGAGGAAGTTGGCTATGAATCTGAGATTCGCAGTTCAGAGCAGGACCAGGGAAGGAATCCTGGGGTGAGCTGAGAACCCCCACGTAAAGCCTCAGATGATCTGACAGCATGTGCTACAGTGAAAAGGAGCCAGGTCAGTCTGATGTGAGAAATGTGGAAAGTCCCTTAATTTCAGGTTCCTAGAAATTTGATAGTGGCATCTCCTGAACTTCACCGCTTCACAGAACTCCAGGCTTCACAGTGGTAGCATGAAGTAGAAGTCACTAGATAGAATGAATGGAGTTCAAAAAGCCTTTACGTCTTTACAACGGTTAGGTATTGTGATTCTAGCATAGTCAAGTCTAAGAAAGGAACACACCTGGTCCCTCAGCTGACACTACCACAAGCATCTTCTGCAGCTATAGCTCGTTCTCACACTGTGGCTTGCAACTAGAAGACACTGACGTGACTCTGGGGTGGTGGCTCAGTCAGTAACATGCTTGTAAGTGGGGGGACCTGTCTCCAGATCCCCAGTACCCACATAAGAAGCCAGGAATGGTGGTACACTCCTGTAATCCCCATGCTGGGGAGACAAAAGAGGTCCATCCCTGGAACTTTCCGGTTAGCCACTACTCAACGGTTCAGTGGGAGACTCTAAAAACCAAAGTGGAACGTGAGTGGGTAAACAGTTTATGTTGATCTTTGGTGTCCGCTTGCACATGTACATACAAATGTGCACATGTGTACCTTCCAAAACTGTACATGCACACAGCTGCATGCATGCATGTGTACACACACACATACACACGCACATGCACACGCACACACACACTGCTGATGCCCTGAGCATATTATCAAGAGTCTGATTCAATGTCCAGAACCCAGAGTTACAAACTGCTATTGAGTTAGTCACAGCTTAATATCACAGGGCTAGCTCAGAGCACATGTGTAGGGACACCTGTCTTCCTTCCTTCCTTCCTTCCTTCCTTCCTTCCTTCCTTCCTTCCTTCCTTTTCTTTTTCTTTCCTTTTAAGATGGGGTCTCTCTACATAGCCATGGCTGACCTGAGTGAGCCTCACGATGTGGACTGTGCTGGCCTACAATTCACACAGATCCCCCTGACTCTGCTTCCTAAGTGCTGGGATTAAAGTCGTGGGTCTTTAGCCCACAGGAGTACACACTTGGCTGCTGTGTACTTTTCTCAGCCATAAGAATTCCTTTGAAATGAATAAGACACTTCACATTCATGTACAAGGTACTCTTGACTCCAACTGGAGAAATTTTAAGCCAGCAATTTGTATAGATCTCGTGACACCAAGACAGTCCTATTTGCACCAGGAAGGAACAAATGTTCTCAAAAATGGCTGCCACTGTCCATCTGTCCATCTGTCCATCCCATAGTATACTAGAAGAAGCAGGTGGGGCACTCTTTCCTAAATTAAAGCTTGATTATGCCAAACTTCGATGTAATGAAAAGATTTCCTTGCAAGCCTCATTCCAGCTTGCCTCATTGCCTTCCTTACAGAGAAATGACAATTGTGACTAATTGGCAGCATAGTCTTCCGTGCAAATTAAAAAGAAATCTGCTCCATGGATGTGCTGAACAAGAGAGGAGGGGGCTACTATTTGAAAGCAAGAGGATTCCTGATTGTGCAACAAAGCAGCTCCTTGTACACTGGCTTTAAATAAACGTTTCTTTATTTGGGGGGCTGCGTGATCTCCTGTGGCGGTCTCTCTCCCATGTCAGGCAGCAGTCATGAGGGAGAAGCACTTAGCAAGGCACAGGTCTGTAAAGGGCCTTTGACGGAATGCTCGCTGTGTCTATTGACGCACTGGGAAGTCTGAGGTCACAAGCTTGGCTGGGACACATGAGCCCAATAGAGAGGCTGATTTTGCCCTCCTGACACAAAGCCAGACACTTTATCAGCTTCATTGTGCACTTAGGGTCATGTGTTAACAAAGAGGATTTCTCTAGTTATAATCCCCTTAATGACGGCTTCTCCCAGCCCTTCCCCCATGCCCCACCAGGACCCTGTGACTTGGCAAGCCAGAGAGAATAAAGGCAACACGGTGCTTGGCTTTTGAACTGAGTTCAAGGCAATTAAGGTCAAGGGCTAGGGAGAGAAGGAGGAGGCTTAGAAACAGCAGCATAATAAGCACCATGGCGGAGGCACTCTGTAAATTAACTCAATTAGACAGAGCCTGATTTAACAAGGAAGGCTGGCGAGAAGCGCTCCCCTCATTAAACTTACTGTTAGAGGAGCTTCTGAGGAAATTAAATTTGTGCTAGTTGTTTGAGTCACATAAAATTGCATGTGCACATACACATGTACACACGTGTAGGCTCTGTGATTTAGGTGGGAATTTTGAGAGAGGAGAGGAGAGGAGAGGGCTAGAACTAAACAAGAAAAGAAGAGATTGGAGTTAGTGAAGGCTCCAGAACTCAAGAGTGGAAGACAAGGAAGAAAGGCAGACAGAAATCAGGTGGGAAGCCGGGCCAGGCCTCCCAATTAAGAAGGCATGGGCCTTGTTCGATGGGGGCTTCTGCTCGGCTGCCTGGCCTGTGGAATTCTGCTCGGAGCACGGGCTCAGTTTCCCCGGGTCTGCATGACCTTGGAGGGCGTGCTGAACAAAGAATGCTGCCCGCCTCTGGGCCCCGAGGCAGCCAACATCTGTGGATTTCTAGAGGGCCGGGGGCAGTGCGCAGAGGTACAGACAGACACCAGGCCCTGGAGTGGCCCTTACGTCCTTCGAAACCAGGACGACCGTGAGCAATGGCCAAGAAAATTCTTCAACCGGACATGCAAATGCACAGGTGAGGGCCCTTGGGCAGACCCAGCTGTCACTCTACATTTGAGCTTGGTGGAGAGTCGACACTAGTGACAAATTGTTAGGCTAGCTGTTTCAGGTGGCAAGTCTATTCACTTAGTAAGGCCGATAGATTGCTTACATGTTTCACGCCCTGTACATGTACTTATGAAAACTAAATCAACTTTGCGTGGGCCACGCCTGAATTTCTGGACACATGCCAACATACCTTTGGCTTGTTTGTTGGGAGAGGAGGCTTCAGGGATGGGGAGCCGGCTTTGAAACTAGAACAAGTCCTTTCAAGATGGATCGGGCCTCTCCTGCAATGGGTTCGCACTTGCTGAGGTGCTGGGTGCGGCTTGGCATCCAGCAGGCGCAGAGGAGGCAGGTGCTCTAGAGCTGCTCTCAGCATTTCTCAGGATTTCAATAGACCGCAAGCAGGGCCCATCTGCCTTATTCAAGCCAGGACTGGACCGTAACTTTGCCAGAATTGAAACAGACCAAAAAGACTTCCTCAGAGAGGTGTTATTAGGGACCAGCGGCTTCTTTCTACCGTTGTCTGAACTCCAAGTGGGTAGTATCAGACCTGCTCACTGGCCTTCCTTTACAACCAGGGTCTCTTCCAATACTCATTTCCATGAAATCTCTATTTTCTCTGCTTTCCTGGGGTTCTTAAGTCCTCCTCTATCCCACTTCTGGTTTCCAGAAACCGTGCACAACTGTAATAACCACTCAGAGTCTGGCAGGTCATCTGAAAAACAAAAATCCAGCAAGCAGCAGTCCTCGGACGTTGTTCCTTGGTGGCCAGCTGCGTGTGGCTTATTTCTTCTTTCCCACGTGCTGCTGACGCACAGGAGAGTACGGGCACTCCAGCTATGTCAGGGTCAGAAACGCTATCAGAGAGGGAAGCTGTGAGAAGGCCAAAACTTCTGCCCTTATCATTTTGTTATAGAATAGATACTGTTGTGTTAGCAGTACAATAGATCGAACCCAGAACGTTGCACATGCCAGGCAAGTGCTCCAGCACTGAACTACATCCCAGCCCTTGTAATCATAAGTGATCTGATTTAAAGGAATTGTCAGGTCTAGTTCAGCTCTAGATCTTGTGACAGAAGTTATGATAGTGTGTTGAATATGGATTATCCATCTTTTTCCTGAGGCACTAAAGCATTTGCTTCACTAGGCATTGCTCATGGTTTTCAGCCCCATGGGGGGCATTGGATTCCACACGTGTGGTATTGGGAGACACACTAACGAGGGTAAGCTTTGTCTTACACCTCCAGAACCATCTATGGGAATTATCTCCAGGTCAGTAGATGGCAAAATGCTGTGTTTTTCAAAAGCTGAGCACCTGTGTTTTAGAGTCCTGGGGAAGAATGCGTTAGTAGGTCAGATGAAACAGTTAACTCATCCTACCTCATCTTTATAGTTCTCGCTTGGAGAGTGAAAGCATATTTGCTTTTAAGAAGTGGAAGTGGGAACCACAGGACACAGCAGACTAGAAGGCATGTTTGCTACATCTCTTTGTTGAAGAAATATTTTGAGTATTCCTCAGGAAGGGACAGAAACGTGTGTCAACCTGACCTACTTTAGGAATGAAATATGAAATTGGTCTGGCGTGGGGCGATTCACAAGTTTCAGATACAAACATCACATTTCCAGAGGCCAATTCCTTGAAGCAGGACTTCCTTCCTCAAGGCTCAGTCTGCATCTCCAGCCGCCAATCAGCTGTGACTACCCTCGAGGGTCCAACTCCTGCCTGTGGTTCACCTCCTTTCTATGATTTATTTGTCTCTGTCTTGCTCGGGACCACTGCTCGTTCTGCACTGCATACACACGTGTGTTAAGGGTGCGTAACATGTGTTGTTCATAATACTTAGTTTGATAGATTACTCCTTTTATCTAGCTTTAAGTATGATTTCCACACAGTTTATACAACAGTAAATTTTATACATCACAGTCCTGCCCCTCTCAAAACAATCAAGGAAATGGACGTGTCCACTACCTCCAAGTTTTCATGTGTTCTTGCTTTTTTGTTTTCAAGAATACTTACTTTACATGAGCTTTAGCTTGGTAGCACACTCCTAAGTGTACAATACCATGCGATAGAGTGGATATCCGAAACTCACCATCTGTCACTGTGACTCCATAATCATTCAAAGTGGAGCCTCTACATTTCTTCCTCTGCCATCCTTCCTGGTAACCACTGTGCTCTTGTACTCTCTGGTTAGCTGACTACTTTAGATGCCTCACTGAGGATGAGCTAGGCATTGTTGTGCAGCGGGGACTTAGTTCACTGAGGACAATGTCTTGCAGTTTCACCTGCAGGTTGTAAGAGGTAGGTAATGATCCCCCTACCTCTCCTCCTCCTCTTTCAACTTACTTTTTTTTTTTTAATTCTGGGACTTGAACCCAGGGCTTCCACACATTAGCAGACATTCTACCCCTGAGCTGCATCCTCAGTCTCTGTCCCCCTCCCCCCCTCCCTGAGTCTTGAGACACGAGTCTTAGAGACTTGCAATGGAAAGCTGCTTTGCATACGTACTTGCCATCATTTGGTGTTGTGCCAACTATTTCAAAGACAGACACATGTTCTATTTCCCCCTTTAAAGAGCAAGCGCTTCATCTTCCTTGAGTAGTGTCTTTGTAGTTCTCAGGTACAACACGCAATTTATACCAGACTTTGTGCATCCCAAAAGACCATTGGCTCTGGGAGCTGTCTAAAGCATTTGCAAATGGAGCATCTGGGACACTCCTGGCCAACCTGAAGTTTCTAAGGCAGGGATGGGAATCAGTGTTTGGCTGGCAGAATGCTGGTGACCTTTGCATTGACTGATTCCTTGAGAAAACAATGGCACCATGCTCTACTACAGGCTAGAGAAAGAAGCCTTAGCCTCATGAAGGAAAACTAAAAAACTAACACAAATTTTCTGTCTCAATTCTCTACAGAGGATTTCTCTATAATGGGTTGGGATAAATTGGGAGAAAGGTGCTGACTATAATTACCAGAAAGAGCCATGCTTCAGGAGATTTTGGTATTGGCCATTTTGTCCTGAGCCTCACCTGACAGTTAGCATTTATGAGCAGATGCCACTTGCAGCTGTATCTTTGGGCTTTTTTGAAATACTTGGGCACTAAATAGTTTTTGAACAGTTGGCTGAGAACTTCTTGTTTGTACAAGTGACTAAGTGCCTCATTTTCCAATCTCTGAAATGGGGATAATGATGAAACCACACTTGTAAAATCTTTTTGAGCTCTGCAGATGAAAGAACCTGTGTGGGCATAAAGTATTGTTATTAAAATAATAGAATCTCTAATTAAAAGGAATAGGCTATTTAGAGTTCCTTGTAAACTCACTAATCGGTGGTCGTTAAGCTTAGTTAGTCTAATAGCGTTTTGAGTTTAAGCCGTGGAGTACATGCAGGGACCTGTGGTGTGTAGATGTTTTTTTTCTCCTCATCCTGGTTTTAAGTTAGGAGAGGTTCTTGACTTTTTGAATTTAATTTTTGCTCCAAGATGATTTCACTCAATGTGAGATAGATTGCAATCATCCCATCCCTCCTTCCCCTGTTTCCCACAGCAACCAACATAATCTTTTAAAATTGTGTTCCACTTGAATTTCTTACCACTGATGTGCAAAGAAGACTAACTCATATTAAGTTGGTGCAAGATACAATTGGGGAATTGAAAGAGCTACAGAGCATGTTGCATTGTGCTAGCTGTTTGCAGTATTTTGATACACTGTTTAAGCCATGTCTGTAGGCTAAACATAGGAGGGAACTTGTGTGTATGTAGAGAAGGAATTTTTTTAACTGAGTAAACTTCTGGATTATCAAGGATATGTAGCAAGTATTTTCTGGTGAGTACTTTGTGTGTGTGCGCACATGTGCTCGTGCTTTCATTCCACGCCTGTGCTCATGGGTGTTGTGAAGCAATGAGGGTCTTCTCCAGTGTCAAGAGTGTTTGTTTTGTCTTTTGACATCCAATAACACTTTGTTTCTTTCTGTTTCGACTTCTCTGCAGCTCCAGGTGTGCTGCTGCCTCACGCCCCTGTCCCCTTCCCTCTACTCCCCAGCGGTACCTTATTTGCCTGCATCCCCAGTGTCTAAGACTTGCCTCCTCCCTCCAGTTTCCAGTCTTTCCCCTATCACTCACTCACATGACATTTATCCATACTAAGTGCGCTGAGCCCATGACGTGTGGAGAGGGGGCAAGGGGCGTGATGTTCAAGGGTTCACAGTAGCAATAGCCGAGGACAAGTCATTTCTCTGCCATTTGAAAAGCAGGATTTTCTGAGACTATCAACAGCCACACTTGGCATGGGTTTTGTTGAGCCCTGGCACCATTCTCTGGGCTCTATAACAGCACACTTACTTTCCCCCAAAACTCTGTAAAACTGAACTCTTATTTTGATGAGGTAAGCACCGAGAGCTCAAAGCCACCAGCAGTGACAACTTGTCTGAAAATATAAAAAGCAGCGAGGCGGAGGAAAACATACTGAAATTCCTTTTTAAAATTACTTTTTAGAATAGAATATCTTTTATTTATTCTTTGGCAACTTTATGCTTGTGAATAATGCATTTTTATCTTATGTACCCCACCTTCAGAAGACCTCAAATTTTCCCTTTTGCTTTCCACAGGAGAGAGTAGTTTTCCAAAACAATTTTAAGTTCAGATAACAATTAAGTCGAGAGTACAGAGATGTCCTGTGTACCCCCTTCTATCTATGAACCTCCTCAATTTCACCCCCCCCCCCGTTTAGTTTTCACTGTAATTAGGTTATAGATGTTCAGCAAGTTATTTACTACATAAATAAATGACAAAACAAGTTATTGATGATAGTGTTTCCATCATCCAGAAGAATCCTGGCAAGCAGTGTGGCATAGAGATTCTCACAAGCTGTGAGTGGCTCAGATTCTACATCAGGGACCTCAAGAGTCAGAGATACTTCACGACTTTTAATGTAAGAGTGTATTAAAGTGACTGCTAGAAAATTTAAGTGTTATGTCTTACTATTTAAAAATGTTTTTAGGAGTGTTTTTAGTCCATAGAAAAATTAAATAGAAAGGATGGAGGAGATGGCTCAGCTGGTAAAACATTTGACATGCAACCATGATCCCCAGCAAACCACAGAGGGCCAGGCTCATAGTGTCCTAAAGACAAAACAAAACAAAGCAAAACAAACAAAACAAACAGATTTTACTCTTATTTTATTACCTTTTAATAATTTTAATATCTGTAGGAACCATTAGTGAGAGGAACAGAATCTACTGACTATGTTTTATAACTTTATTGACTTTACAGAATTGAGTGTTTTATTTAAGATAGCATAAAGTCAATTATCAACTTCAAAGTGTTAAAACTTTTAAGTTTTGACCCTGGTGCCTATCACTTGGGTCATTGTAGATGAAGGTCTTTCATTAAGGTCCATCAAGCAAAATGAGCTAGACAGTCACTTCAGACAACCTGGTCTACTGCCTTCCATTTTCCTCTGGGCTCTCCTGCAACAAACAAACAAACAAACAAACAAACAAAACCCAAACTAAACCAAAAAACCAAAACCAAAACCAAAAAAAAAAATAACCTTTGTTACTTAAAAACTATTTATTTTTATTTTGTGTCTATGAGTATTTGCCTTCATGCATATTGCATTGATTGTGGAGGCCAGAAAAGGGTATCAGATCCCCTGGAACTTCAGTTACCTACAGTTGTGAGCTGCCGCATGCATGCTTGGAATTGCACGTGGTTCCTCTGCAGGAGCAGAAGTGATCTTGGTCTATAAACCATCTTCCCCACCTCTCCATGTGCACTTGGGATTAAGGGCTGCAAAGGCAGAGGCAGGTTGGTTCCTGGAGCCTGTGGGCCAGACAGGCAGTAAGACAGGCAGTCTAGCTGAATTGGTGAGTCCGGACTCAGTGAGGCTGTTTGAAAAATGAAGTGGAGAGAGATATGAGATGCTTGATGACTTCTTGTGTGCACATATGTACATATGCACACACACGTAAACCCACAAAGACTCCTATGGACATGAGAACACACACACACACACACACACACGAGTGAGCAAAAAGCACTCACATCTTTTGCTTGTGTACATACCTCTCTGCCCACCATTGCCAGCAGCCTGCTTCTCATTGGTCTTGGGTTCTTTCCCACTGAAGAGAGATGAGTGTCTGCTTTCTGAGCAGAGACTTTAGAAACAGCTGCAAGTTTGACTGTGTGCTCAATTGAGTAGCAAGTCTTCTTCGGACATAAAATTTTATTTGATCATTTCTCAAAAAAAAAAAAAAAGCTATTTGTGTAAAAGCTGCTCCAGTGGGTAGTAGGTACTTTCTTTCTTTCTCTTTTTGTCCTGATGATGCTGGGCATGGAAAACAAGGGCTGCCCGGCTGAGCCAGGCCTCCTTCATGATTATACAGAAATAAAATAAATGAGATTCCAAGTGGCGGAGGGAACAGTGGTTGTTCTGACGTTCTGGGTCCCAGGCTGGGGATGCAGCTCAGTGCTGAAGGTTCCATACCCCTCAACCAGCTCCGCCAAAACATGGCGTAGAGATGATTTGCCTTGAACTTAAAAGCAAGGGTGGGTAGCTCGTGCAGGGAGGGATGTTGGAAGACAAGGAAAAGTGATCCAGGCACAGGAAAGAGACTGTAACGGTCCTGACAGCCATGAGGCGGAGGCGGAGGCAGAGGCTGAGCAGGAGCTACTCACTCTGTGTTAAATACTTGGAGTCAGCCCTTTAGTCTTCTGGTGATAAGACTATTATCTTCTTGTGGGAATGACAACTAAACTTTCCCTCTCAACTGTACCTGAGGAATGAACTGTTGCTTATGCCCGAAGCAGTAAACCCACAGGTTGAGTGCAAAGGTGAGGGAAAGAATTTAGGCTCACGGGCATTTCAGAGCATGCTCTCTAGCTCTTGTCCTTTGGGGTGGAGAAGCAGAGGTACTTTGTTGCAGACAGGAAATTCTAAAGGATTTGCATTTCTCCACATCACGCCCTTAATTCACTTTTATGATTGGCCAGGCAACATCGATTTTTGTCTTAATGCTGTCTCCTTTGTGAAATGAACCAGCATTTTAAAAGTTAGATACCACCCAAATTCTGCAAGTCAGCTTGTTTGTCATTGTTTTATTATTATTATTGTTATTAATTATTATTATTTTCCAGACAGGGTCACACTGTGTAGCCCTGGCTGTCTCATCCTGGAACTCACGATGTAAACCAGGCTGACCTCAATCTCACAAAGACCCACCTGTCTGTGCCTACTGAGTGCTGCGATAGTTCATTAAGTCAGTGGGTCAGTCTGTGCTGGCCAAGTAGTGTGAGCTGGCATAAACATCGGAGTTTAGCAAGGTCAGGCCAGGTTAGGGTATACAGAGGATGTTAGAAGAGATAGCTCTGGGATACCCAAGGGCAGAAGACTTCCTTTGCTAGGGCCACTGCAACAAATCATTTCAGACAGAGATAGAAGGAACAGAAATGCTTTTCTGCTAGTGCTGGAGGTATTGGCAGGGCTCCTGCCTTCTGAGACCTCTTCCCTCGGCTTCCCATTGATCGCTGTGTTTTTAGGTAGTCTTCCCTGTAGAGTACAATCATACGGGGCTAGAGGCTGGTGCTCCCGTGCCCTTATTTTACCTTAATTGCCAAGTTCAAAACATGATTTCCAAAACTAGTCACAAGCTGAGTTTCTGGGGACTAAGCCTCCTCCTCCTCCTCCGCTCCTCCCCCTCCTCCCCCTCCCCCTCTTCATCCTTGTCTTCCTCCTCCTCTTCCTCTTAGTCCTTGTCCCCCTCCTTCTCTCCCCCCTTCTCCCTTCTGCTTTTTCCTCTTCTGCTTTAACAATAAAAAATGATTTTCATATAGTAGTAGAGGCGGCAAGCCTAAGAACGAGGTAGCAGCGCGGGACCTGGGTTCTCGGAGGCCCCTGTGCCCTATCAGGTGCTTTCTCTCCGTTTCCTGTCATGGTCTCCTATGTGTCAGCGCCCCTCGTTCCCCCTTATAATCATCTGTTCTTTTCCATTCTACCTGGAGTTCCAACTGAGAACTTTCTTTCAAAGTATACAGCCTCATACTCATTTCCTATCTCCCCCCCCCCCCTTTTTTAAACCAGGAAACTTTGCTGGTTATAACTGTGGAGGCTGCAAGTTTGGCTGGACCGGCCCGGACTGTAATCGGAAGAAGCCGCCCATCCTAAGGCGGAATATCCACTCCCTGACTGCCCAGGAGAGGGAGCAGTTCTTGAGCGCCTTAGACCTGGCGAAGAAGAGTATTCACCCAGACTACGTGATCACCACGCAGCACTGGCTGGGGCTGCTCGGACCCAACGGAACCCAGCCCCAGATTGCCAACTGCAGCGTGTATGACTTCTTTGTGTGGCTTCATTATTATTCTGTTCGAGACACATTATTAGGTGGGTTTTCCCCACTGGCTTAACACGCATCATTAGAGGCTTGTGACTGGGTGGGGGTATGGGATGGGAAGTCATTTGATACAAGTTAATTAACGGGGAGCAACCTCAAGCCAGGTTACTTGTAGGTCTGCAGAATTATCAAACACCGCCTGTAGCTCAAAAGAGGCCGTTTCTTTCTGTTCTGCAGTTACTTTAAACCTCTCCAGTTTATATTCCTGGTTCAGAGTCTAATCCTAGCTCTCTGAAATTTAATCCTCAAAGGCCTGAGCAAAGTGGAAGCAAATTCCTCTGATTCTAGGGAAAAAAAAAATCAACTTTGGCTTGAAACCTGGCTCTGGCCTTTTCTTCAAAGTAGAGAATTAACTGAACATATTCCAAGGAGCACCGCATCTCCTTGTCCTGAATGGCAGTATCTGCACTAGAGATGTGGGGACCCCTTAAACTCACACGTCTTTAGACCTTCAGTTGGAAGTTCACTTGAAGTTGCCTCCTTGTAGGACACGCGGCTTCTTCTGATCTCTGTTCTCTCCTTCCACTCTGACGTGGGTTTCGTGGATCTTACTCGGGTGTCCAGCTTACACGGCACGCGTCTTTGTCTTCTGCTTGCCACGAGTGTAGGCTCATTTCACCACCTTTTAAAGCGTGCAACACAGCCATAGTCATCCACATGGCTAAGCAAGAAGAACTCTACGTTGCTATGGCTCCACTTAAACGTTTCCTTGACAACACAATTCCAAAATGTTGGGAGGCTTCTCGGATTCCGTGAAGATGGCCTTTGACCCCAACACGTGCTGTGGGGTGCATGTTCCCCGCCTTTACAATAATAACAAAATGATGCTTGTGAAATATCGAGGACTCTCCCAGAACCTAAAACGTGCGGACGGGTGGGATACGGCACAGGAAGTTGATAGACCATCAATCAAACAGCTGCAGCTTTGTCCCCAGTTCCCCATGGACTGAGGAGAAGCCATTGGTTTGCTCTAGGAGACTGAGTCCATTCTAGATTCTTTTCATAACAGTCTGTACTCTTGGCTATTTCTGCTGCTGTCCCTACTTCTGGGTCCCCTCCCTGGGCCAGTGTGAACAAAGTCATTGAGCGCCCCGGGGCTGGTGCAGCTCTCTCTCCACACCTCACTCGTTCACATGTCCGTCATCAGTCCACAACCTTTGTAGTTCTTCTCTTCATTTTGTGTAGAAAACTCGAAACTTTTCTTTAGTCAATCAAACAAACCATGTTTTTAGAAAGGCTGTGTGGCCAGCAGCAGTGACAGAAGCTCTGCTTTTAGTGTGAGTGTTGTTAAAACCTGCCTTACAGGGACGCATCCATCTTCCTTTATCTGTAGATGAGGCTAAAAGCCTTTATCGTTTTCCTGTCATTACTCTGAGGAATTTTTTGCTTTATGAGAAGATAGCTTCTCAAGAGGAAAGGAAAACTATAGTTTCTAGTCCCATCTAGGAACTAAATTTATATTCATGTCTGTTCAGCTCTCTGAAGTTATTACAGGTACTTTGAAAGAACTAAAGTGAGCTCAAGTTTCTGCATAACCATCAAAAGCTGCTATGAAAGGCAGAAGACAGATGGAGCAGGCAGCAAGAAGGGCGTTAAATTGCCCAAAGCGCTTCACTGGAATTGGCAGTTCCAGTGGCCAGCTAAATTGGTTCCAGCATATTTTTTTCTCTTTTGGTCTCAGTGACCATGCTTGTCAGCTAGTGGCTCTAACTGATTGATGGGTGAGGCTGCATTCTCGAAAAGTTCTTTTAGCATGCATAAAGGCTGCATTAGCACCAAACGTGGTTGAAGTTGCTACATTATTAAGTCATCTCTTCTGTTATAAATTTTTTCAATCTTAAAGTCAGAAAATCTTTAAAATGCATTTCATTTAGGTCTTAGGGATTGACACTTTTAGACAGCATTTTATTGTGATGCATTGTTGTGTAAAAATTAAAATATGTAACAGGACCCTGACTGCTGAAATTGACTTGAGTTTCCCAGCTCTCTGCTAAAAATCAAAAGTTTGAGGAACGAAAGTGATGACTTTGTGAAAGTGCTGTTTTTGAAACTCTGTTATCATTATTCTTATTGTTACTTTTTTTTAACAGATACATGGTTTTTAAACTAAGACTCTGTGGGCCTTTTGGACACAGACATACCTCTGATAAGGTTTAACTTCCTAAGTATTCTGTTGTCTGATCTCTATTTCCCAACTGTTTTAGGTCCAGGACGTCCCTATAAAGCCATTGATTTCTCCCACCAAGGACCTGCCTTTGTCACGTGGCACAGGTATCATTTGTTGTGGCTGGAAAGAGAGCTCCAGGTTGGTCAAAATCATCTGCTCAGTATCTAAAAAGGATCTTCATTTAAGGAGTATATGATGTTTGAATGTTTGATACACTTATTTCAGTGATAACTAGTAAAAAAAAAAATCAATACTCTCAGTGTTTTTCTTTCCCTCTGTGTTGAGCATCTAGTTTCTCTTGTCAAATTACCTGTGCGTGGTGACCCAGTATGGATACTTTTGCCCTCCTGCTGTACATTTGATCTCTAGGCATTTGCATCTTTCAAATTCCTTCTACATTCTATACACTGATATTTTTCTTTTTCAGATCTTATATCTGAGTAAGATTATGGAACATTTTTTAGAATCTGATTTATTTCACTTAGCCCAGTGTCCTCTAGGTCCATCTACATTGTTACACATTGGTGCACATTGTAGCACATTGGTGCACACTGTAGCACATTGGTGCACACTGTAGCACACTGGTGCA